CATATCTTGGTAAGCTCATGATGACAATTCCTCTTCCAACTCTTTTCTGAATTTATTTTCCTAGCTCCAACTTTCTTCCATCCGCGTCAAATACGGTGGCATGGAGGACGCCTTCCCCGGCTCCTTCCTGTTAACCATCTTTGAACAAACACATTCCCAACTTCAAGCCTCAAATCGATTCAAGAAGGTCGTGAATGGTTGGTGGCCTGCAGACGACAGCGTTAGGGCTAAATTCCGCAGAGAAGGGTGCGAGGTAAGTCAACGCCCATCTCTTACTCATCTCGATCCATTATTGACTTCCAAAAGCCCTTTGACATGACCTTGCTTCCCGAAGCTGCCCTGGAGCTTCACTTTCAGTCCCCCCAAGTTCCAACATCTTCGAACGACTTGTATGCATCCGAAGTCATCGATGACATTGCTGAGGAAGAAGACGAAAACGCCGCCCCTCAAGGCCAATCCACTTCTGAAGGTGCTTCTGAGCACCAATCATCCAATTCCGAAGCCACTGAAGATGAAGAGAGCGATAACGAGGCTTCCCAAACTCGTCCCCCTCACCAACCTTCCGCTGCTCAACCCTTAACATCTTCCTCTGAGTACGACTCAGATTACAACATTGATGTCGAACCCCCCGACACTGAAGAGATCAACAGGTGGGTCCTCGCTACAAGCACGGCGTCAAGACGTCCGTTTTCCAAGGCTCGTGCATATGTTGCTTCCCCTCGGGTAAGTTCATTCCTTCTCATCCTTTCGCTAGTATCATTACTAACTTCCTATTCAAGCCTTCCTCCCCTTCAGAAGCGTCATCCCCCGCTGCTGCCGAAGTGGCGCAACATCTTCAGAAGGCTGCTTCTGAAGGTGATTCCATGGTCGTGGACGAAGAAGATGTTCGTATCCATTCTATTTCCTTCCAAATTCCATGTTAATTTATTTTCTAGGGTTACCCTCGTCCGACTCATCCACCTCGTCGAGAATCTTCTGAACGTTGCGAACTCTTACACGATCTGGGTGAGCTGGCGCGCAAGAAGAAACAGTTGCCTGTTCCTCAGGCCTCAACTTCCTCAGCTGCTGCTGTCACGGTAAGCACCCAGTTCCTTTCAACTTATATCCAAATCCCTAATTACATCTTCCAGACTCGCATCGGGTGTACCGTTGTTACCCCGAAGCGTCTTCAAGGCGCAACTGTTCCTTCAACCGTGAGCGTTTTCTTTCCCTCAGCTTCCGAACTGCTTTCTTATCACATTATCCTAGTCTTCGCCTTCAAAACGCAAATTCGTTGCCTCCGGCGAAGGTTCGGACTCCGATGAAGAAGTCAATTCTCAGGCTTCCAGTCCAGCTCCTTCACAACCTGCCAAGACGCCCAAAACCTCCAGCAAGGGCAAACGACGTGCCAAAGTCCACAAACACTCTGGTACTCGAGCTGGCGCCAAGCACGCCAAACGTCCGAAGTACAGCTCGCCTCCCCCAGGCATCAATTACCCTGGTGAAGTAGGCGGCCGTGACCGAGCTTCCGTAGTTGGCTCGGTCAACAACGACGTGAGTTCTTCAGCTTTTTATTTTCCATTTCTACGTCTAACATCTTTAATAGCCCGAACCCCTTTGGAAATCTCTCCCCGGGACGAATCACGCCGACGATAATGTACCGGTGTTCTGGGATGAAGACGAGAACTACTTCTTGGTCAAGAACCTCGCAGGGGTACCATCTGGTGCTCTCCGAGGTGAGTATTCTCCATTCTCTCTCCAAAATTCCTGCCTCCGAAGCTGAAACCTCCAATTTTCAGACCTCCGAGGACACATTTCGACTTTGGGAGGCATGGACCTCCACATCAACCACTTCGTGAATGCGACAGCCCCCATGCGCTGCGTAAGTCTTCCTTTTCATATCTACTTTAATTTCGAAGCTGACTTTTCCTTACTTGCAGCCTGGTCCCAGCCAAGCCAATCTCGTTTGCTTCAACTGTGTTGAGCATCCCGAGACTTGCATTCCTATCCCCGCCGTCGATATCGACCACTTGCCCAACTCTCGGAAGTGCGTTTTCTGCAGCGAGAAAAAGCTCGCCTGCCTGATGAACTGCAGTTCCGAAGAGTTCGACAAGATGAAAGAGTTGTGCGCGTTGTGGGGAGAGAGTAGCAAGATTGGTAAGTCTTCACTTTTCTCTTATCCTTTTTCCTTTTCAATTCTAACTTTGATTCCATAGGCCTTCAACGCCAACTCTCGGAGATTGCTGAGGGTAGACGAACCGTCGAGTCCCTCATCAAAGCCCGAGACCAGTTGGATAGCGAGATTAGCCGCCTCGCTCGTCTTGACATCGAACGAGTTGCCAAGTTTCGGGAGGCTTGTCGAGAGCCCAGGGACATCCTCCGTCACCTGTCTCGCGAAGATTCCGAGTTCTTCCTCACTATGCCAACCATCATCCAGATGTGTTCTGTGTTTGGTTGGGAGTTCTCCGAATTGCCCAAGCCTTTGACATTCGGTCGTGACCAGAGCGGTGTTCCCTACCTGCGGAACGATACCACTGGTGAAGTCATGTTGATTCCTTCAACGTCTGACTTTCCCACCGGTACACCAGCAGCGTAGTTTACCTCGTAAGTTCCCTTTCTTTCCCTTGTCTTAGCTTCAACCCTATTAACCTTTAGTTTACTAGGGCAGCCTCCGACATCCTTTCTTGTTGTTCATATTCCATTGTAGCATCTAGTAGTAAGTAGTGTGAATCCCAAGTACTTAGAGGACTTGTAGTTTCTTGAGTTCCCCCAAGTCCTTAGGACTTTAAACATACTTGTATTACCAGTTCCGAAGTCCCTTAGGGACTTATCTAATTCCATATATCTTGATATCCTCTTATGTTGTGATCTCTCTAAGTTCTGAAGTGTGAAGTGTACGAAAATTTGAAGTCCATGCCACTTCTGAAGTATGTCAATTCCCTGAGCCGCGTGAACCTTCATCTCGCTTCCTCAATTCCAAACCTAATATCCTTGATTACTTCAAACGGTTCCTTATGGATCAAATCCCTATCTCAGGTACTTCCGAACCTCAATTTCCGAATTGCAAACGCCGTTGACAGATCGTTCTGCCTTTAAGCGCTTTACTCCGCTATTAACAAAATCGCAAAAACTTAGGCCCTCTCCCCCAAAGCAAAAGAGATTCAACGTCCTCGTTGCTAGGGAGTCGGACCAAGTCCTTATCCGATATCCGTGTTTTCGCCGAGTCTGAGCCTCCGAGGTATAAAAGTCATTATTAACTCTAGTTACTCTCATCGACTAAGTCGACTTTTCGCCCATCATTCAGTGCGAATACTGTCCTTCTAATTCTTCACATCTCATTACTCCCGCACAATGTCAGCCAAAGCGCCCGGTCGTCGTACCTTCGGAGGGGGTCCAACCTCTTCCGAAGGATCCTTCATGCCCTGGGACCCCGAAACCTTCGCCTCTTCCCTCAAAGAGAAGATGAACGACATTAAAGAAGCAATCTCTTCCAAGTCCAAGTTCACGGCCATGATCGCCACCGATCTTGGGACCTTCTTGGTGTGTATTCACCTTATTTATTCCTTTGAATTCTTCCTGACTCTCGTATCAGACTCAGCCAGTTATCGCTACCGACCTTGCTGCCAGCGAGAAAGCTTTAGCTACCTTTCGTACAGCCGTCGAATACATTCAACTCGTTGCTACCGAAGTTCCAGCTTTCAGTCTTCCTGCCCACTTCGACAGGGTGCAGTCCTTCGCTACCCACTGCCAAAAGCTAGCCAACAACATCGAGAAAGAGAAGGCCGACAAAGAGAAAGCAACTCGCAAACGTCGTGCTGTATGACCTTCCTTACTTCCTTACTTCAATTTCTAATCCTTTCATGCTTCAGAAACCCAAGTCCCCCGCTACTATCGATGATTCTGATGGGTCTGACGCCGAGATAGTCATCGAGCCTAACGGCGATACTAAGGTCCATATCATATTCCTCTTCAATCATTTCGTACTAACAAGGTCTTAGATGTCCGATAACAAGGTAGAGGGGATTCAATCCAGCATTCATGCCACCCCCGACATTGAGATCGTTCCTGGTCCTGTACGTTTTCCTTCTAAATCCTACTTCCGAAGGTCAAATCCTTACGAATTCGCCTTTTCAGAAGAAGGGTGTTACTACTCGTGCTACCACGGTGAGCATCCCCTATTCCGCAATTCCTGGCATTTGCACCCAGTCGAATGCATACTTAAAGGCTGCTTTCTACCTCGCTAAGGCTCGCGGAAAGCTTCCAGCCTTCAAGAAAGTGCGCATCGAACCTGCCTTTAGCAATGTTCAAGCTGAGACTGCCGGTACGTTGATCCTCTCACAACTGAATTCTTCTTATATTCATAGTTTTGAGTTCTTCAGCTGAAGCCCTCGATCGTATCACCGAAGGTCAACAAGTCGATCGGTTCGCCTCTCTAGTTCCTTTCCTTAACTTGGAGACTCTTGAGGCGCCGACTTACTTATCCATCGCCAATTTCCTCAAGTCGGAGCTGAACACTCTCGCTCACGCTACTAAGTACTATAGCGGCCAATATGCCTTCGTTCAACAGCAATTGGAGGAGGTGAACCGCATCCATATGTCCAAGATGGACCTTAACGGTGCCGAGCAAGCAGGTAATACTGCTTCCGAAGCAACCGCCGGGCCTTCCAACGCTTCTGCAGCTTGAAATATAGCTTGCTTGCGTATGTACAATATCCGTGTATCCTGTAGGGCTCAAAAGGAGTCCCTGTTTCGTATTTCATAAAGTCATAAAATATACATATATGGTCAACACGAACGATATCAAATGACCAGATTGGGATCCGAACTCAAGTCTTCGATCGAATTGTAAACATAGCTGTGGACAAACCGTCGACGTTAACTACTTAACCACCTGGGCGATGATCAAGAGTGTCTCAAGTTAAATAAACCACTTCATCCGTTATCTAATTAGTCGTGACCTCGCTCTAATTCCCGACTCCTTAGATTTTTCCAAAATCTTACATGATCAATCGTGAACACATAGACCAAGTCAGGATTCGAACCTGAAGCTTCGGCAAACAGTATTACCCGGGATAATCAGCTGCCGACGTCTACCACTTGACCACCTGGTCGGTGATCAAGTGTTTCAATCAAACCGCATAACCTACTGTTTCCTGGTTCAACCTCGTCGGGCTCTAGTCCTAACTCCTGATTCCTTAGCCTCCGAAGCAGAATTTTCTTCTTCTTCAGCTTCCGAAGTAACCTCAGGTACTTCATCATCCTTAAACTCCTCAAAATCTCCCCGAAGGTTAGGTAGGTTCGGGAACACATAATCGGCGCTATCCTTTAGACCTTCCTCTTCAACTAGTTCATCCAGTTGTTCCTTCGAGATATCTATCAGTTCTTGTATGTTCTCTGGCAAGGCGATGGGCCTGTATCTCGATACATGAGGCAACACCCTAAACGCAGCTACTTTGCCCCGTAACACCGTTCCATCCATTTGAGCAAGTATATAAGATCCTCCGCGCGTCCTTCTAATGACAATCAAGGGTCCTAGGTAACGCGGATACATCTTTCTATCCAGACTCAACTCTATAGGTGAATTCCGTACTTGAACTAACGTTCCAGGTGCAAAATTGTAGTTCCGTAATCGGTTCTGGTGCTGTTTTTCGAACTGCCGAAGTGCCTGACGCTTGTTAGCATCCACCCTAGTAATCATACTTTCTACATGAGTTCGGTGTTTAGCCAAAGCTATGGCTCGAAAGCCTAATAACTCCCCATGCGTGAGTATACGTTCAGGTGTCTTCACTAACCAAGTCGACTCGACTATATCCAGCGGCAATATAGGTTCCGCACCAGTCACTAAGAAGTATGGCGAGCATCCGAGGCCTCTCCGTGCCGTAACTCTATCAGCCCATAGTACTGGCTTCAAAAACCACCACCACTTCTTTAAGTCATCATTGGTGGCACGCACCAATGCTTCCCTCACGATAAGATGTGCTCGTTCAATCTTTCCATTAGCTGGCGAGTTATAGGGCGAGATTCTAATACCTCGTATCCCATATTTCTCTTCTACCCAATCTAGAACTTTCACCATCTGAGGTGCGTTGTCCGAGACAATCTCTTCCGGACATCCCCACCTACAAATAATGTCTTCAAATAGCCATTCCCCGATGCTTCTCGCGGTTTCTCTTTTTACTGCTCGAGCTTCAGGCCAGCTAGTCAATGCACATCTTCCATGAATAATGTTTTGACACCCGTTACTCGCAGGTGTCATCTTCATAACATCAATATGTATCTTCTGAAACAACGACGGCGTATAAGTCAACGTAGGGGGCAGCTTCTGCAAGGTCATTATTCGTTCTTGACAGGTTTTACACGACTTAATGAACCAGTCTACATCACTCTCGATGTCCGGCCACCAGAATCGCTTGTCTATCAATTCCATAGTCGCGAACAGTCCCTTGTGTCCACATTTGTCGTGAGCTGCGGAAATCATCCAAACCCGCTTTTCTTTACTCACAACCAACTTATGCTGACCGGTGCCCTCCATGTTTAACTTGTACATCCTTCCGTCAAACAAAGCATATCTACTACACTTCGCTATAAATCTCTGCTTTGCCGACTTCGGCATATGCAGCTCGTTCGCAAATGGGTTTTCAAGGTATTTTCTAATCTTCAGAAGTTCATAGTCCTGGTTCTTAGCATGTTCAGATCGGTGGTCCTCCGAATATGGGTTCTCATCGATCCATTCTTGTGTGGGCTGCGGAGGCACAATCCAGTAGTTGCCGAAACACTCAACTACTTCTGAACCATACTTCCGCAGATGCTCTTGGACTTGACCAGTCCAAACTAGCGTTTCTTCTTCCGCAGCTTGTAACTCGTCCTGAAAGTCATCTTCCGACGTGACCATCCGAAACAAGTACCCTCCACGCGCATCGATGGTATGTTTATATTCATCAAAGTCGTAAGGGAACGAGGATTCTCCCTCTCCTAATCTGAAGGTGATAGGTTCCCCGTCGTCCTCATCCCAGGCGGCATCTTCTTCCTCCTCCCCACGAGCTGTTTCTAAGCCCCCAGGAGGTGGTCGAGACAAACCGTCCGGTCCATGAGTTATTCCTTTAACATGCACAAGTTCAAATTTGTACTTCCGAATCTCTTCAATCCACCTATTTATCGTTGCATTAGGCCCACAACTCGGGTTATCCAACATTCCCTTAATATAACTAGCATCCGTTTCGACTATTAACGGTCGACATCCATACGTCTGATAGAAGGTGGCCTGTAAGGCGAGCTTCAAACCGAATAGTTCTCTTTTAGGTTGCGAAAACCTTGCCTCTCTTTCGTTCAAAGGTATTGAACCGAACCAATTGTAATGCTTCTTCTTCGGATTGTCCGAATCCACTTGATACAGAATGAAACCAACAGCTTGCCAAGAGGTGTCTACTGCTAGTACCAAACCATTCAGGTTGTGGATATCTATGGGCTTCAGGGCTGGCGCCTTCCGAATTGCTTCCTTCAGCAACTCGACAGCTTCAAACTCTTCATCTCCCATTTCAAAGACTACCGACTTCGAAGTTAGTCGGTTCAAAGGTCTAGTAATTTTCGCATAATCCTTTATAAACTGTCTTAATTGAACAGCCGTCCCTAAGAAGGACTTAATATCCGTTTTGTCTCGGAACTTATGAGGATCCCAAGACAAGATAGTATCTGCGAACTTCTCCATAGGTTTCTCTCCCTCGTACGAGCATCTATGCCCGAGGACATCACCTTCCGAAACACAAAGAAATGCTTTGGGCCCAGAGAAAGTAACTCCGCAGTACTTCATTCGTTGGCATATTCGATTCACATTCTGCAGATGCTCCCACACGAACCTCCGAATACCTGGATTCCCCGGTATTGTCTCGTACTCCCCTGGTTTCCCAGGTATCTCATATCGAGTCGGCGGCCCTTTAATAGGTACATCATCCACATAAGGTCTCGTAATATACGGTATTTCATCCCTTAGTATGTAGGTCACATCATCATGGAAAATGGGTACAGAATTGGTCCAGCCCATAGGTAGCTTTACCAGTCTGTGAGGTCCGAAGGGCGTTTGAAAGGTTGTGAGGTCTCTCGATTCTTCATCTATGAGGCGTTCATCATAGCCCACATAAATGTCCAAAAGACCAATACACGACCTCCCCGCAAAGCCTGCTGCTACTTCCGCAGTTGCTGGAGGTATCCCAGAGTACTGAATCGTCACAGCATTCAACGGTTCCAGACTATGCACGAGTCGCAAACTCTTGCCATCCTTCTTCAAAACACAAAACCATTTAGACCGATACGACGAGCTCGAAGGTTCGTACACTCCCGCATCTATCTTATCCTTAATAATTCCACACACTTGTTCAAAGATCCCCGGCGGTATCGGTATGTTTCGTTCTACCCACGGTGTATGAGGCAGTACCGGAAACTTTACCGGCGGGAAGAAGTCAGTTCAGAAGGTACCTCCTTCTTCAGGACCCCAAGCAAACGCTGACTCTTGCACCATCATTAAATAGTGCATAAGTTTGCGCTCATCCTCCCATAGAAATTCTTCCGAATGGTTCTTATCGATTATAGCTTTTCTTTCCTCATTATATCTCCCCGTCGGTTGGAATTCTGGAGGCTGAACCGGCAACTGCGGAAGGTCCTTCAATGGGTCCCCTTCTATTTGTCGTTCAACTCGAAACTCTTCAGGTAATGGTGCTTTGACAGGCTTCACCTTCAAAGCTACCGGTTTATATTTTCCAAACACCGACTTCACCGTTCGGATGTCTTCTGATCCTAGCTCGAATTGGGAAAACACTTTCACGAGATCTGTCTCCAAAGTGCCTTCTTCACTCAACTGATCCATGGTTTCAAACATCCGAAGTATTCTTTCTACCACCGTCCGATTTTCCGGGAGCCTAAGCCATCCGTAAATAAGAACCTGGTGTAGAGTATCATTCTGTACAAATTCGTCTAGCTCTCCGTCGTCCAACTGACAACCCCTGAAATGCATATGCTCCTTTCTAATCTCTTTTATTTGCTCAAAGACCCTCCCTAAGTCACTGAGTTCCGATGTTAAAGTCGAAAACAGGTTAGGTAGCTGGCTGGGTTTGGATTCCCGTTGTTTTCTCACTGCAAGCTCGCGGATGATAACTTGTGCAAGCTCACCCTCGAATCCAGTCTTGGAGGGGTCAGTCCCAAGGTTTCGTTCAAATGCATCCAGTAATTCTTGTTGTCCGTAGTCCAATATGAAATCTAAGACATCCATAAGTTTTCTCCAGGCGCCGAGCTTCCTAATCTCGAATCGCCTAAGTCTATCAAGTTCCTTCGGGAAACTTTTCGAAAATACAGCTTTGTACTTCGATCGCGGCACAGTACTAGGGCGAGAATCCACCTTCCGAAGCAGACTTCTCTGCTTCTTCATAGGCGACTTTGGTATGAACGCGGAAGTCTTCTGGTTCGGCACATCCCGATCCAGACTCTCACGCCATGTACTGTAGGTATATTTGCCATCCTCAATGGTCTGATTCAAATACGCATTAAGGGCTTCCGAAGCTTCAGCTTCCACTGGTTCCGACACCAGCATGAAAGCTTCAGCCAATTCTCTATCTCCAAATTTATTCTGTTCCGGAATCTTGACTTTCGTGATATGGACTTCCCCAGCTTGATCCGATTCAAGTACTACGGCCACCTCTCCCTGATCTGGGATCAGTTCATTAAGGTATCGCGAAAATTTCCAGCCTCCTCCGAAGAGTAGTGATTAGCTTGAGACTGTCCTTTTCCGCTATCCGTTTCTTCCATTGTTTGACGCTCTTCTGAAGTGGGTCTACCCATGTCTTTCAAGGTGTGCTCGGTCTTCCGAGGCACAGTCTTCTTTCCTTGCCCTCTCGGGTATGTTCCAATAGTTGACCTCTGCCCCGAGTTTGGGCATTTAATGGTCAACTCTTGATATCCGTCTGCATAATTATTGATGCTTGATTCTGACAAGACATCAAACGGCCTGCCCAATAGCACTTTGTACGGTGCGCCGTCCAAGATATGCAGCTGCAGGAAAAACGTCAAGTCTCCAAATCTGAAAGGTACATTTCTTGCCAGTCCCCTCGTTTTCTTCAACTGTCCG